GTAGCTTTCTTATCCAAGATGTTTGTGATATACTTGAACATTTTTAATGTTACCGTTTAGTTGGAAAATATATATGGAAGGATTTCGTCAATGTATTTTTTCCATCATCGTTTCAGTTATTATTAGTGGGGAACTTGTTGAGTTGTCTAAAAGTGACTTTAAATCTCATATGCCAGCTGGTTAACTACTGTATACAAAATCTAAAAATTGATCAAGAATCACAATGATTCTCAATGAAAATGGTGTAGGTGAATTTTTGTGAAAAAGGGAAAGGATTTAATAGTATCATTGTAGGTGGAAGAAGGCTGCCCACCAAGTGAATGATAAATTTTGAATGAGAATGTGGGCGTTGAAGAATTTCAGCAACATACGAATTTTCTGAACTGTTCATTCTTGACTTAAAAATTACAAAGATGCTAAAGAAAATAGGAGTAATATTAACAGCTAACGGCAATTTACCCTTAAAATGGGTTTGAGACATTTTACACACAAGGAGTCATTGCAAGTTTGCAACAATGCAGCCCACATACAAGTCGATTGGGAATGCAGGCGGAAAATTACTTCGTTAGACTTGCAGATTACCAAAGACCGAAGTGATAATTGGGTTCTCAGTTCAAAAGTAAAGAAAAAGATTAAGTTCTTGTTGAAGTTATGATTTCATTATTTAGATTGGTTTCTTATAGTGATATTTATAGTATGTAATTGTTTTTGGCTAGATTTGGGCCGTTCGGAGTCGGAAAGTCGAGGGAAAGGCGTTCTTATTGATTGATTGAGCGAGATTTGAGGTAAGTGATTTGTCTAACCTTGTGTGGGGGAAATTCCCCTCAGGTTTTGGTACTGTTATGGTATTTGAAATACGTGGAGGCCGTGTACGCGAGGTGACGAGTGCGTACTCGGGTTATATGTTAAAAAATCCGATTCTTGCGGAGTAGTCTTCTTTAAATTCCTTAACTGAGTTGCCTTAGCATGTGTAGTTATCATGTTTAGCATAATATCACATGTCAATGTGTCTTAATTCGTACTTGAAATCTGTGCAACATGCTTAGTTGAATTCCCGCTTCCTTGATTTTGTATTCGGTCTTGAACTGTAGGATTCCTTGCTGTAAATTCGTTGTTCCACCAGTTACGAGTTGTGTATTTACTTTTGGGACTACGAGGCGGTACCTCGAGAGCTCCCCTGTTGTATATTTACTTTTAGGACTACGAGGCGGTACCTCGGGAGCTCCCCTGTACATATTTACTTTTGGGACTACGAGGCGGTACCTCGAGAGCTCCCCTGTTGTATATTTATTTTTAGGACTACGAGGCGGTACCTCGGGAGCTCCCCTGTACATATTTACTTTTGGGACTACGAGGCGGTACCCCAGGAGCTCCCCTGTTGTGTATTTACTTTTGGGACTACGAGGCGGTACCTCGGGAGCGCCCTTGTTGTTTACTCCTATTTGTTGTGTTGTTACCTTTATGAAATTTCTCATTGTTAAATTCTCAGTCTTTTTATTATATTATTATATCTTCTGCCTTGTTTCCTTTTATTCCAGTAAGGCCCTGACCTGACCTCGTCATTATTCTACCGAGGTTAGACTTGACACTTATTGGGTACCGTTGTGGTGTACTCACACTACTCTTCTGCACATCTTTTTGTGCAGACCAAAGTACCTCCTACCAGCCCCGATATCAGTGAGCAGTGAGTACGTGGAGACTTCAAGGTATATCTGCCAGCGTCCGCAGACCTCGGAGTCCCCCTCTACCTTTAGGATGTTGTTTTTCATTATCTTCATTAGACTCTGATGTATAAAGACATTTAGCATTTATCTTAGAGCTTGTGATTTATTTTTACCGGGTTTTGGGAGTTGTAATCATTTTAAATTGCAGTTTTATTTATTTCAGATTTGGAGATTTGAGTTTCAACCTAGTATTCAGTTATTATGTATATTTGTTAGGCTTACCTAGTCTTAGAGACTAGGTGCCGTCACGACATCCTACGGAGGGGAAAAATGGGTCGTGACAATCCTCCAACTCCAAATATCCATTTTGGGACAAATTATATACTCTTTCCGTTTCAATTTATGTGAACTTATTTCCTTTTTAGTCCGTGCAAAAAAGAATGACCCCTTTCCATATTTGAAAACAATTTTCCTCTATGCAATGATTTATAGCCATACAAAATATATATGTATCATTTTACATCATAAGTTCAAAAGTCTTCTCTTATTTCTTAAACTCTGTGCTCAGTCAAATAGGTTCACATAAATTGAAACGGGGGGAGCATGTAAATTCACGGTTTTCACAAACCAAAGAAGAATTCTTAGCAAAATTACTCTTGTCAGTTAGTAAATCCAAAGAGTTTCCGGAGGAGATACTCAATTTACCCAAAAATTAAGTTCTTTTTCTTTCTTTCTTTTGTGTTACCTTCAGTCTGTAGGTTTAAAGTTAAACAGTGATTCTTCCTCTTCTTAAAAAAAGTTAGTTTGATAAACACTCCGGTATGATGACGTAATATTTCTGGCCTGTTATAAAAGCCGTCGTCTCACTCTTGAAGGATATATAGCTTGTTATAATCAATTAGTAGGACTAGAGTTTTCAGTAAAATATCCATAAGAGTTGAACGATTTATTTTCAATTATATAAATAATTAATGATATTATGAATTAAGTAACAAGAGAGGGTTGCTCAACATAAGTATTCTCCGCCTCTAATCTTGAGGTTGTGAGTTTGAGTAAACACGAGAATAAAGTTGGAGAGGTTTGTGGAGTGATATAAAAAATTATGAATTAAGTCTGTCGGTTCGAGATACTTCTCAAAGCTTGCCTTATATACTTTCACGTCTCTTTTATTCAAAAAATTAAATCATGCAAGCTTAACTATTTTTAATCTAAAAATTGTTACTGAGATTGGGTGCTCAATTGAATATCTGTATGAATTACTAGTTTTTCTTAATAATATTTGGTTCCAAAAATAATGAAGATCCATAACCCATGACATGGGACTGCCATTGTCAGGACCATTAGAAATTTGAGATTTCTCAAATCTCAACAAATTCATGTGCCTATAGTACGACGTATTAGTGTCACGCCCTAAAATCACACCTTAAGGATTGTGATGGTACATAATCTCTAAGACTAGGTAAGCCTACCACACAATAATACCAAACAGAATATAATAACTTAATCTTTAAATAGAACTGAGAAAATGGCCCAAGATATAGCCAATATGATAATACAACGATCACAATCCCAAAACTCGGTAATACTGAGTCATAAACTCTACAAGAGGTATACAGTGAATCTCAAAATACAGAAATGTTTGAAATACAATAAATAGTAGAAAGGGAACAATAGAAGGTGACTCTGAGGCCTGTAAGCGGAACAACAGGTATACCTTGAAGTCTCCACAGCAACTCATAATCAACTCACTAAAGATCGACACGCTCTGAGGTATCTGGATCTGTACAAAAATGTGCAGAAGCGTAGTATGAGTATACCACAGTCGGTACCCAGTAAGTATCAAGACTAACCTCGGTGGGGTACTGACGAGGTTCAAGTCAAGACACCCACTAGTTAAATAACTTGTACAATGTATCAAGACCGGCAACAGCAAGAATAATAGGAGGCAATAACTGTAACCTCATCAGAACAAGTGATAATAACTTAATACAAGTAAGTACTCAGTTTCAACAACGAGTCATCAAATAGAATCGCTAACATATGACACTTCGTGCCCACATTACCAATCACCCTCGCACGACAAAGACCTCGTGCCAAAACATACGTCACACCCTACACGGCAAAGTCCCCGCGTCACAATATAAGTCACATTTGCACGGCAAAGACCTCGTGGCACAATATAAGTTACACTTGCATGACAAAGACCTCGTACCACGGAGTAATCCGATTTCATATCAATTTCTAAGTAACACGTTCAACTTGAGTAAGGAGTAGACCTTTCTATTTTGGGATGTGCACGGAAAAGACCTCGTGGCACAATATAAGCTACACTTGCATGACAAAGACCTCGTACCACATAGTAATCCGATTCCATATCAATTTCTAAGTAACACGTTCAAGAGATCTTTTCAAGAATCAAATAAAGTAAAGACAACTCCATGTAGGTGAATCCATCTTGACAACCGGAACATCAAGTAATAACAGAGGCATAGATTGGCATGTAATAAATCACACAACAAATCATGTATAAATGCATGACACACACAAAGGAGTCATAAGCACAAACAAGAATACCCCATTTCCACCACCACACAAACACTATTAATAAACTCTCCCAGGCCATCAATAATCATCCCACCTTGTCTCGCCACATGCGCAAAACAGATATAACCCGCCTTGTCTCGCCGCATGTGCAATATCAACAATAACAATAGCACGACAGAAACCTCGCGCAAATATCCAAATAATCCACCCAACAAGTCTACATGTGCCATAATCATAACAACACAACATGCCAACAATTGTCATCAAGATATAAACTCACAATTTGTCAACGCAGTGCATAAGGACAAACTAATAAAGGAAATGCAGATGGGTGTTCAACATATGAGCTTGAATTCAACTAACCCACATCAGCAACAATCTCACAAACGTCCAACTTGGCCAGTTAAGGAATTTCAATCCTAAAACATGATATCTAGCATGCAACATAAATTGAAGTAAATACCCAAAGTGAAAACACGTAGTACAGAGATCTCCCAATCAAAATAAAGCAATAAGAGCAACCTCGGGTCAAAACTGGTCATAAGACACACATACGTCCGTGTGCACACTCGTCACTTCATGTACACGTCATTTACACATAATACAAATAAGCAATTAAGCCAAATCCTAAGGAGTAATTTTTTCACACAGAGTTAGGCAAGATACTTATCTCAAATTGCCCAAATTAACACTCAAAAATAGCTTTTCCTTTAAAATTCACCTTTGCTCGGCTCAAATCTAGCAAAAAATGACTTAATAATATCAAACAATGCCAGGGAAACCAATTTCGATTAATAAAGTTAAGATCTTTGCACAATTTTTCATAACCCCACGAGTCCAAATATGGGTTTGGTTTTCAAATCCGAGTCCAAATCGACTCTCCAATCCGAAATTTTTATTTTTTAAAACGTAGTAAAAAATTCTCTAAATTTCTCTTCAAATCTCATAGATTAGATGTTAAAATTCACAAATAATCATGTTATAATATCAAAAGTGAGTCAAAATCACTTACCCAATAGTTTTGTATGAAAATCCTCTCCAAAAATCATCTCCCATTGAGTCTAGGGCTCAAAATGTGATAAAATGATACTAAGTCTCGACTTCAATTATATGCCCAGCTGCATAAGTTGCATTTGCGACCTTAAGTTCACAAATGTTACCATTGTCTCACAAAAGCGTACCCTGTCAAGACCCACAGAAGTCGCAAATTCGACAAAAATGCGACAAAAATATCTGCAAATGCAAACCCTGCAGGCATCACAAATGCGAGATGGGTATCGCAAAAGTAGCATGCCTCAACCCAGCTCCTCATTGCATATGCGAGGTTGGCTTCGCATTTGCGAAGCCTGCCAACCCAAGGCCTCTTTTGCAATTGCGATGAATCCCTCGCAAATGCGGTAATCGCAAATGCGAACGGGTGCTCGCATTTGCGAGATCTGCAGCACCAGCCAAGCACCAGCAAAATCTGAAACAGTCTGAATCACTTCGAAACGCGTCCGAAATTCACTCGAGCCCCCGGGGCTCTTCACCAAATATCCACACAAGTCTAAAAATATCATTCGAACTCGCTCGCGACCTGAAAACACTATAATAACATCTGGAACCACGATTCAGATACCAAAACATATAGAATTCACAATGAAATTCAAGAACCATTAAAATCACAACCAAATGTCTGATTCCTATCAAACCAACTCGAAATGACACCATTTGCAACAAGTTCCAAATGGCAAAATGGACCTATTCCAAGTCTTGAAACCAAAATCCGAACCTGATAGCCACAAAGTCAAACCATGGTCAAACTTGAAAATTTTCTAAACCTTCAAATTGCCAACATTCGGTGTAAGGAGCCAATTCAACCTAGGAACCTCTGAATAAAATTCTGAGCATACGCCTAAGTCCAAAATCACCATACGAACCTATTGGAACCATCAAAACCTCGGTCAACATTTCCAACTTAAGCTTCCAAACTAAGAACCAAGCATTCCAAATCAATCTAAAACCTCCCCGGAACCAAATCAACCATCCTTGCAAGTCACATATTCACAAATACAGACACGAGAAGCTTCAAAAGGAGAAACATAGCTCAAATACACGAAATAACCGGTTGGGTCATTACAATTTGTATGCACTCACTCAAATTCAATGTTTTTCACCTTTTGTTACTTTCCGTATTTGCTACTAGTTTCCCCTCTTGTTATATATTGACAGTATAAAAATTAATTATTTATATAATTTAACTTCTTATAGTAGCATTAACAGTCTTATTTTTCCTTCTTTTTTTTTTAAATTTCACTTATTATGAATATAAGAAAGATTCTGCCAAATTTTCTTCATAAAAATAAGAAAGGTTATTATGTGAATCTCAACCCCTGATAGGTCGTGACAAAATTAGATAGGAAATACTGCTAATTCTCAGAACAAATACATAATTCAGCTGTCGATGAGACCATGGCAAACAGAGAAATTCAACTTAATAAATGAGTGCAGCAATTCAAATCTCATTTAATTTTAAATGCCTCGTGCTTGGCATAGTAGCATATATATGATAATCAGGCATTAATTATTTGCAGTCTGTTGATGTTCTATGTCGACTATTCTTTATTTCCCTTTGTTTTCTATCAAATTTTATCGACTGTCTCTGACTTTCCACCGTAATAATAAGTATGGAATATATCAAGATTCT